CAGTCTAATTAGCATATTACCGTTTTATTAGTATAGATGAAATGATCAAGATAAAAATATGACATTATTTTCTCAATACTTTCAGATGACACACATAAGTAATGGCATCTACAACCTGCAAAAATAATTTACTGCTGAGCAGAGACAATGTCCATTAAATTAATTATTTGTTTTATAACTTTTAAAATATCACAGAAGGTTAGCAATATCAATAACAAGAAACAAATAACCTGATTTAAAAAGAATGGACAAAGGACTTGAATAGACATTTCTCCAAAGAAGATATACAAATGGCCAACAAGTATATGAAAAGATGCTTAACATCATTAATTATTAGGGCAATACAAAAAAAAAATGAAAGAAACCCACAATGAGATACCACCTTACCACCATTAGGATGGCTACTATCAAATAATAATAACAATAAATGTTAATGAGGATGTTCAGAAATTGGAACCTTTGTGCACTGTTGGTGAGAATGAGAAATGACACCCACTATAGAAAGGATGGTGTTTCATCAGAAAGTTAAAAATAGAACTACCATAGGCTCCAGAAATTCTATTTGTGGGTATATACTCAAAGGAATTGAAAAACAAGGACATAAAGAGATATTTGTATACTCACTCATAGCAGCATTAGCCACAATAGCCAAAAGTGGAAGCAATCCAAGTGTCCACTGACAGATGAATTAATAAACAAAATATGGCACATATACATATAATAAATATTATTCAGTCTCCAAAAGCAAAAAAAAATTCTGCTATATGCCATTACATGAATAAACTTTGAGGACATGATGCTATTTGTTATTTGCCAGTAACAAAAAGACAAATGCTGTATGAGTTCAGTTACATTCCTATCTCAGAACCCAAAAATCTGTGTTTAACCCAGGTCTCCAGGGGATTGAAGGCATGCTAATGTCTAAGAACCACGGGAATAATGGAATAACAATTTGACTGAGCCATGATTACTGCCATGAAAGAGCTCAGGGAAGACAAGTTGCTAAGTTGGACAAAGAGAGGCTGGCATCTTCCTTGAAGGAACTTATATTTGAGTTCAGACCTGAAAGATGATTAGCAGTTAACCAGATACAAGGGATTTGGGGAAAGGGGAGTTGAGAGTGGGATGAGACAGAGGGATTCAATGCACAAAAGTCTTTGACAGGATGAACACTGGTGCATTGAAGAAGAAACAACAACAAAACCCATGTAGGTAAAACACAGGAAGAAGGAGATATTAGAGGACACAGCCATACAAGACAAAAATCAGAGACTTTTATGCCAAAATCAGGCCTTGGTTTTTAAGAGGAAAGGAAAAAACAAACAAACAAAAAAACACAGGGATTTTAGAATGAGGGTCATAAAGTATCAGTTTTCATCTTGAGGAAAACTGCGTACAGCATGGGGAAGTCATTAAATTAGAATGATGTAAAAACAACAGATAACTGCTCTTAGGGTATTTGGGGCAAGAGAAGATGGCAGGTTGGTCCTTGATGATAGGTAGCAGAGATTGGAAGTGACCCAAAGTGAAACATCATGAAGCGATCATAGTTGTGCAGGAGGATGTGTGTTTCCTTGTCTCAGAAGAGCTGTTTGGGCTATTTTTGTTCATTAGAGTCATTGATGTTACCTTGACAACTGAAATCATGTGAGAGACTAGGGAAAGAGACTATGATGAGAACAAAGTCCTAATCTTACATAACAACAACCCAAGTGATCTATGTCCAGAGATGAGATGAAAAGGAGATTGAAGAGGCTAGTCAGAAGAAACTAGAATAAGCTGTTTACTTGAAATCAAGGCAGCACGAGTTCCACAAAGTGAGGAGTGACCAGTAATGTACACACCCTTTAGTAGTCAAGTAAGAAGCATGATAGTTGTCATTGGACTTGCTTGCATGGGGATCCTGGGGACCTTAGACACCTTAAATCAGTGGAGCGATCGGGGTAGCTGTTAGGCTGAAGTGAGTTAAGAACTGACAAGATGGTAGGGCAACTGAATCAAGACATAAAGCCAGCATTTATGGGAAACTTACCTGAGACTGGAGAGACATCAGTCAGTAGATTAGGAGGAATTCTGTTATCTGTTGCTGTTTTTCAAATGACATTATAGACTTACATTTTGAAAACATTACACTAATAAAGGGTGTCCCCAAAATAACGCAAGAAGTAATTTTGATAGAAAACATAGATTTATAATTAAAAATTGTAATTTTTTTTATTGATTCATAAAGTATATAGTATAGGGTTATGTATGGAATAGCATATCAGGTAAATGGCCTCCACAGCTTTGCTGGCACATATGCACTCTTTTGTTGAAATTTTCCATGACCGTTTTGCATAAATGTGGCTGAATTTCAATGAGGGTCATTTTCATCTTGATGGCTTGGTTAATCGATAAAATTGTCGCATTTGGGGTTCAGAAAATCCACGAGTGATTGTTGAGAAACAAATGCATCCACAACGAGTCACTGGTGCAGATTTTGTGCTGGAGGCATCATCGGACCATTCTTCTTCGAAAATGCGGCTGCTCAGGCAATAACAGTTAATGGTGCATGCTATCACAACATAACAATCCAGTTTACCTGATATGGTATTCCTTACATAACCCTATACTGTATACTTTATGAATAAATAAAAAATTTACAATTTTTGCCGAAACCGGTTTGGCTAAGTGGATAGAGCGTCGGCCTGCAGACTGAGAGGTCCCAGGTTCGATTCCGGTCAAGGGCATGTACCTGGGTTGCGGGGCATATCCCCAGTAGGAGATGTGCAGGAGGCAGCTGATCGATGATTCTCTCTCATCGATGTTTCTAACTCTCTATCTCTCTTCTTTCCTCTGTGTAAAAAATCAATAAAATATATATTTAAAAAAATGTACAATTTTTAATTATAAACCTGTGTTTTCTATCAAAATTACTTCTTGCGTGAATTTTGGGACACCCTTTATTTTCCATATATTTTAATAAATTCCTTCTCTGGTCCTAGCCAGTTTGGCTCACTGGATAGAGCGTCAGCCTGGGGGCTGAGGGGTCCCAGGTTCGATTCTGGTCAAGGGCATGTACCTTGGTTGCGGGCACATCCCCAGTAGCGGGTGTGCGGGAGGCAGCTGGTCGATGCTTCTCTCTCATCGATGTTTCTAACTCTCTATCCCTCTCCCTCCCTCTCTGTAAAAAAATCAATAAAATATATATTAAAAAAAAATTCCTTCTCTGGAAACTGTTTAATCATTAAAATTCCAGGAAAGGGTAAAAGCAGATGCACCTGAGAAAGGAAGAAGATAGAAGATGGAGGAAGACTTAGGCAGAAAAGAGGAACTGGAGTCAACTATTTTGGACAAGTGGAAGATAAGGAGATGGAGGCACACATGTGTCCTCCAACCCTCCCTAAAAGGGGAAACATGCTGAAGGGAAGCTGAAAGGAAAGGGACATTCACTTAGCTGTCATTAGAGAAGACTGACTCACAGAATTTCCCCTCACCACTTGTAAGGTTCCTGGGAATAGAGTGTATGTGAACGAGCCTGAATGACCTTCCTTGAAATATCCTGGCATCCTCTGTGACATGGTAGCAATACCGAAGTTCTCTTTTGCTCAAAGGAGTGGCTGAGAAGAAGGAAGCTGAGTGCACAGCCACAGATAGCCTGGAGGTACTTTGGGAAAAAGACCAAAGTCTATGGGGAGTGTTGAAGACCCAGTGGGAGAATAATCTAAACTTCAGGATGCACAGAGTGACCATCAGGACCACAGTGGGACTAACTGTCCAGGCAAACCACTACGGCATGAGAGTAGACCGAATTCACCAGTTAGAGAACCAGAATCCAATGCTACTGAGTTACTCATAACCATGAGAACAGGAAGGTTTTCGTGGAGATGTAGGCAAGCAGGGACCAGTGTGAGGAGCTGAGTACACAGATCTGGCAGTTTTCTTCCTCCTACCCAGGATCCCAAAGGAAACCTGAGAGAGCCTGCTAATCCTAATTAATATTTATTCCCATCACTTCTTCTAGATCTAGAAGTCCCAAATCTGAGATGGGGTGTGACACACACCAAAGAGTTGCATGATCAGCTAATTGATATCAACAGCAAGTTGGGGAATAAGAATGGCAATGAATCTTAAAAGTGTGGGATTCAGATGGGAAGAACAGAAAAGTGGATCATGCTGAATCCACTAAGAGTGATTGACTGATTCAATGTTCTAGTTGAGGGGCTAGGAATGGCTCTGACAATTTGCTTGACAGGTTGGCTGAATCACAGACCGAAAAATGACCAAACTAAATGAAGTGAAAATGTCAGGACTTTCTCAGTGTACTGCAGAGAAAGGCATTCAAAGGTGTAGAAAGATTGGGGTGCAAGAATGGATTCACCAGGTGAGGCTGCTCATCTCCCGGGGCATTCTGGTCACCTCTCTGGGCTGTAGTGGAGACCATCTACCTGATTCTGAGTTATATACCTACCATCCAGACCAACAACTCATCATGACCGACGTGCCATCTGACCTACCAAGCCATACTCTTTTGTTACTTTTCTAAGGACTTTCAAATATTTTGTTACAACTCAGGAAGATAGACAAGATTATTTCTGAATTGATAAAACTGAGGTTTACTTAAAATTATGCATTTTATATTAATAAAATTATATATACATCCACCACTCCAGATGGTTAAACACTGAGGATAATAATAGATCAATTGTAAATTTTAGTCAATTATAAGTAGTGCATTTAACCACATCTAACAATAAATATAAGTAAGAACAGCTCAAATTGCAAACTTAAAATACTCTCAGTGAGTTTATACCAAACCACACCGAGAATATATATCACTTATCTGTGGTAAAAATACATCATAGGCTCCACTGCACAGAGTAAGTGAGATGTGTGGGAAATGACTTGTCCTTTTCTTCCATTAAAGGGCAGAGTTTTTTGAAAAGAGATGGTTCAATTTCTTCCCTCCAAGCTGCCTTTTTAAAATAACATAACATAACACATACTTTGACACAACTCCACATGACTCAGAGGCCCTGCTTAAAATAAGACCAGAGCACATTCATGGAGACTGAATCACCTCTAACCTTCCGAACTTGGTGAGGATTACTAATCAGGATGTGTTTTCATTCCTGGGATCGTATGGGAAAGTTTGGATTCTTTCAGCTAACCTAACATTCAATCAGTTATGTTATCACTGGAGTTCTAAACAAGCTTTGTTTCTTTTCTTTTCTCATTGCCTCACCAAGAATATAAGACAACCCATGTAGAACTGTTGGTTTTCTATAAACAAAGACTACCCATCTTTAGGAAATACACGATTCCTGAGATTATTTTAAAAAGAACAAAGCAGCTTATGAAAGTATGGGACATTCATCCACATTAGGTCTTCCTGGAAGCGTTCCAGTTCTGAGAGACACATAGCTCTTCTGAGTTAATTATTTCTTTTTTAGCCCAGGAAAACTTTTTGGCAAAAGTCAAACACAATTTGGCATTTTTTTTCCTGATTAAAAATTGAGAAATAAAAGGGCAGAGTGCATACCACTAGCATGGACATACCAGCCTACGCTGCATTGCACATCATGTAACAGTGACTAGTTTGCATTTGCATGATTCTTGCAATTTTAAAGACCCATGTATTTAAGAAGAATAGCTCTAGTTTATGAGAAGAACAGTAATACGACTAAGACCTGGATTTGAATCTTTGTTCCTGCCACACTGCAGCTTTCAATTTCTTATTTGAAAAATAAGGATGAATAATATTTACCCCAAATATGCATAAAGGAAGTTCACATGTATGGACATGTTTTCTAGGTCCTAAGGACGGTCCACTTTGTAAATGTAATTGTTGTCCTGACTGACAAGCCTTAATTCTAAAGGGACTGAGTTCTTTCACCCACTTAGTCAGTGTTTCCTTAAGTGGCTGGGTCTGGGAGATAAAGAATTACAATCACTTCCTGTGAGTGATGTCTTTCTCTCAGTTGTAGAATGAGTAACATTTATATCATTCATTTTTAAGCACTAGCCTATTTGAGAACTATATTTCCCCCTAGGCATTTGGTTAAATCAGCCTAGAATAGCGATGACTTCTTAGCTCAGCATCTGCTCCTCATCTCCCTCCCACCCTTCATCCTCACCCCAACACACTAAAGGACATTTAAGCTTTTAACAACAGGTACTCTTTAACCCTCTCCCAAACATCCAACTTGATTAGATCATGAAATAGAGGGGGAAAATTCTTGCCTAAAATAGTCATCTTCCAGATGTGCCCACATTCAGGGTTGGTCCAGAATGTCACATCCTGGTGGGAAGTGACTCTGTGTGTTTTGTTCCTATTCAGGGTCCTGTTGTCAAAAGTGAATGTCACAGGTGTCCCTGTGAAATCATCACACAGTGACCCTTCTCAGTCACAAAGAAATATAAATATTGTGTCTCATCTCTGGTACACATTTGAAAGTCTACCTTTTCAGAGAGTTCAGTACTCGTTTTCACTGATAAATTATAAAAAGTCAATCTGTGGGGGCAATATTTAATGATAGCAACAGTGGCAGCGATCCTCATCCAGTAGTCCAAATTCCCAGTCTGAGTTCTTGATTTTTTTTAATAGTGGGATATATCTGAGCATTCTGGTGGCAATTTATTTCCACTCCTTTCTCTCTCTTCCATCTGCCTCTCCCGACTCCACTGACCCTCAGTTATGCAATTAAAGTAATCAGTGGGCACTTTGGCTCTTCTTTCCTGAAGGCATTTTTTTTTTTCACAGCTTTAACTTACTCACAGGAAGATTTTTTTTAAAGGCAGGCTGAAGCACACCAAGCAAACAAAAACATAAATGCACAAAGGCCCACTGTGGTTGTGGCCAAGGATGTTGGAGGGCAGCCTTACACAACAAACGTCTGGCTGTTGAAACCAAGATAGGGATAAAGCCCTTGGGCCACATCTGGGAGTGTGAGTGTGTGAATGGGGCTGAGCTGGCCTCCCACACAACAGGAATTCCACCCAAACTATGTGCTCTGTATGGGAGGACAGAAAAAAAATGTGTTTGGAATATCACTAAGGAAACCCAGATACATTATCTTTGCCAGAGTACAAAAGACAGTTGAGTTTGTGACTGACTCAAAATGACTAAAACAGAGAGCATGCATTTAATGATGTTGATGAAGCAGGGAAGGAGAAAAAAAAGGGTGGACACATTTTTTATGTCCTAACGAGAACAAGACACCTCCCTTCACAGGAACAGGGAAGACTGCCACTGCTCTTTCTCATGTCTGTGGATTTTTGCAGGCAAAGAAGAAATAATAAAGGCATTTTGGTCTTTCCATTTAAAGGTTTTGGCTGCCATAAACTGAGCTTGCAAATATCAAGATTTGTGTTCCTTCTTCCACATCCCTGAAATGCAGTCTGTTTCAATATGCACTACACAGTGGTAAGAGTATGTTCTGATGCCGGAATTCATGTTTGACCTCAGGATTTTGAGAGTATGTTTTAACCTCTCAACTCGTACTCTAAAAAAACATGATGTGTGTGTGTGTGTGTGTGTGTGTGTGTGTGTGTGTGTGTGTTTGATGTGGAGAGCCCTAAATTTTATGCAACAGTTTAGTTTCATTTTAATGCCAGTTAATTTTTAGCATTGTAATAACACAGCAAATTACCCTTTAAAAATATAGAAATATGTTTATATTAGTGAAATTTAAGCAATAATAACACTATCTGTAGTATACTTTGACAGATTGCTAACTATATAAACGTATCAGGAGCTATAATTTATTTCATAATAACTTGCCCACTTTTCTTAAGGCATGTGTCATGTAATTGTCACTCAGTGTGGGTCGGTGTGGCATTGGTCTGTCTGTTTCACAGGGTCTTATCCTCAATCTCTTCTTCATATTATCATGCATTCATTACTTTTTTGCTGTTGCATTTTGGTGACAAAGTTAGAAGTTCAGACTATTAAAGTATAAAGATATTAATTATTTTTAAAGTTGTCAAGGTGGAAGAGTCTAAAATCAGCCTCTTCATCTGGCAGCAAAATGAGTTGGATAATCTAAGCAAGGATCCAACATACTGAGGAACTATTTTAGTTTTGCTGAATATGTTAGTTAGGAGTGATGGGAAATCTTTATGTTGTTTCCTAAAGCAACAATAAAAATCTGGCACTTTTTATCCAAACATGTACATGGATATATCTTCAAAGATTATATTCACATGTTTTTTATGTTTGAATTTTTTTCCCTTTTTTTGGCTGACGGCTTGAAACATATGTTGTTCTAGGAAATCAGTGCATAACCTATGGGACTCAACACCAAGGATATAACCCAAACCTCAAAACCACATTCAGTAGAAATATTTGGCTCTTGCAGTCAAGACACCTGTAAGTTAATTGACATGACAGGCATAGATTATTTATGGGCTGGATATGAAAGAAAACAGAGGCCCAAAGTTTATAAGCATAGGCATAAAATTAATTCAAGCCACTTAATGTGAAGGCCAAAGAATGAAGTGGTAATTTTTAAGGAAAAAATATCAATAAAGCAGGACAATATGATAAACTTTGTAGATAATGACAGTTGCAAATTAGGGATTTCAAGATGCAAGGTTCTGCAGTTTAAAACCATTTAATCAAAGAAGCTGTCTCTATTTTTATGAACCTACTAGTGGCCCAGTGCATGAAATTCGTGCATGGGGGGAGGGGGGTCCCCTCAGCCCAGCTTGCACCCTTTCCAATTGGGGACCCCTTGGGGGATGTCCCACAGGGATCAGGCCTAAACCTATGGCCTGACATCCCTCTCACAATCTGGGACTGCTGGCTTCTAACCTCTCACCTGCCTGCCTGCCTGATTGCCCCTAACCACTCTGCCTGCGTGCTTGATTGCCCCTAACTGCCCTCCCCTGCTGGCCTGATCTCGCCCCCAACTGCCTCTGTCTTGGCCCCCACCACCATGGCTTTGTCCAGAAGGAAGTCGGACGTCCGGAAGATGGCCAGTTGACCTGGTCTAATTAGCATATTATCCTTTTACTAGAAGCCCGGTGCACGAAATTCATGCACTGGGGGGGAGGGGTTCCCTCAGCCTGGCCTGCACCCTCTCCAATCTGGGACTCCTTGGGGGATGTCAGACTGCCGGTTTAGGCCCGATCCTGCACCAGTAGTGGGACATCCCTCTCGCAATTCAGGACCACTGGCTCTTAACCACTCACCTGCCTGCCTGCCTTCCTGATTGTCCCTAACCACTCTGTTTGCCAGCCTGATCACCCCCAACTGCAGCCCTGATCCCCCTCAACTGCCTCCCCTGCCAGCCTGTTTGCCCCCAACTACCCCCTGCCACCGGCCTGATTGCTCCCAACTGCCCCCCCTCGCCAGCCTGATTGGGGTTGGGGGGCCGATTGGGGGAGGGGCTGGCCATGAGGAGGGGCTGTGGTTGGTGGGCTGGGCAGCCACCCCCCCAAATGGGTTGGGGGGTGACGATCAGGGCCAGTGGCCTGGGGGAGGAGCCATGGGTGGTTGGCAAGCCAGCCCTGCCCCTGATTGCGTGGGGGGGGGGCGGGCAATCTGGGGTGGGTGGGCAAGGGGAGAGGCTGCAGGAGATTGGCTGGCCAGCCCTGCCCCCTATTGGGGTGGGGGGACCAGGGGTGGGGCCAGCCTGGGGAGGGGCTGCAGGACATTGGCCTCCCAGCCCTGCCCCCTCTTGGGGTGGAGGGGTGCAATCAGGGGCAGACAGCCACGGGGAGGGGCTGTGGGCCTATTGTGGTGGGGCAGGTTGATCAAGGGCGGGGCTGGCAGGGGGTGGGGGTGGGAAGGGAGGGGGTATTTGGCCAGCCGGCCTGCTCTTTTTGGCAACTTCACAACTTTTACTTGTGGTGCCTGTGCTATGTCTGAAAAATACCTTCTCCCTCTGCCCGGGACAACGATGGGAAGGAGGCAGCAAAAAATAGAAGACATCCTTTCCTATTGCACATGGACCCTATATACAGGCTCACCTGGCCCAGGCCGTCAGGATGCTTGGCACATTCTAGTATCCCTGCTCAGGGGCTGGAGGGGTGACTGGTGGCAGCACACGTGAGAGGGGACCTCTGGGTGACCACTCTGGTCCTGGCTACTGGTCTTGGCACTTCCTGGTCCCCAGTTCCTTTCTGGTCCTGCCTGCAGCCCTGGTCCCCCTACCTGGCTCAGCCTCCTGTCTCCATCCTGGACTCAGATGGCCCCCTTGGCTCCTGGGGGCTCTGTCCTCCCCTCCTAACCTGGAGATCTCAAGGAAGGTTATGGCTTCTCAGAGACTCCTCGACAGCCCTGTCACTCATGTTCACACAGGGAAGGGGTGCATGTGGCAAAAGCAGCTGTATAAATGCGGGTGCAGGGGCAAGTCCTCTGGGGTCACTTGGACAGTTTGCTGATGACGCAGATCAGGGCCACATTCCATCCTTGAGGCACTGGTTGTCAGCTCGGAGGTTGGACAGGCCCTTTAGCTCCTGTTCCAGTTCAGCGGCCTTGCACTCTAGGGCCCTGCACTCAAATCTCACCAGCTCCAGGATGGCCGGCCTCTCTGCAAAGCGCTCTTGCCTCTGCATGGTGCGCTCCAGCTCTACCTTGAACTGCGCCAGCCGCAGCGTGGTCTGGGTCAGGGCCTCACGAAGTCTCTTGTTCTCAATGTGCAGCTTTGTGTAGAGCTTCCTGAAGCTCCCTCAGGCTCTTCCGATTTGGGCTGGGGTTCTGGGTTTAGGTCCTGCTGCCTCTGGAGGGGAAGGGCCGGATTCTGGGCTGATGTCCACTGGCTTCACCTTCTCCCCCTTCACAGGCCCTCTCCTCTCCTTGCCAACTCTGAGGTGCTCCCTGGAGGCCTGTGGTCCCTGTCCCTGCCCGACAGGCACCTCTACTCTCTGGGCAGTGCCATCAGAATTCTCAACCCCACGGACTCAGGGCTGCCAGGAAGGGTCCAGGCTCTGAGCGCCCTGCTTTTGATGTGGATGGGAGAGTCTGATGGGGGAAGGCCTGCACGGGGGAGGGGCTGCGAGGTTGGCCCCACTCCCTGATCAGATGATGTGCTTGCTACAGTAGGTGTCATAGAGACTGGCCCAATCAGGGCCATGTTCTGCCCACTCACCACTCCCCAGTCCCAACACCGCCTCCACTGCCAGGCTATCAGGCCTTTGGGATCACCAGCTCACAGTGCCTGCTTTCCCACAGGCCTAAAGCCCTCAGGCCTGTGGGAAAGCAGGCACCAGTAACTTCACCTGCATGCATGTGCACCCAGGCGGCTGCTGATGGAACACACTGCCCGCTTGGGGCCACTCACACCTGGGCAGGCAGGTCGTGGGCACTGCTGCCATGCTACTGCCACTGCCGCTGCTGCTGCTGCTGCTGGGGCTTGAGGCACTGACAGAGGCTGCTGGGCATGCCTGAGACCTACCCACCCTGGGTTGGGTGGCACATAGGATGCGCTGGCTGGTTAATTGCTGCTGCCGCCCTGGATCCCTTCACACAGGGGATACCTGGGCAGGTACCTGATCACTGCATTCCCACCCACCAACCCCAGGTCCCCCGAGGGAGGGCCGGATGAGGGCAGGGACCTCTGCCCCCAGCCCCGGATGGAGGCAAGCTGGCATTTGGCACTGTCCCACCCTGCCTTCAGTATGCAAATTAGGTGGTTAATTTGCATACCACCCTGATTAGCCAATGGGAAGGGTAGCGGTTGTATGGCTAATTACCATGTTTCTCTTTTATTAGATAGGATTAGTTTAGATAGATTATATAGGATAGAATTGCTTAAATGTGGGGGGAAGCCTTTTTCAGCAGGAGGACATGCTCTTGGCAGACAAAAACACATAATTCCTATATCTGGACTGATAGCCAGCCATATGCACTATACTGCCAAAGTGGTCATTAAAAAATTGAACGACTTTCTTACACCTTACACCAAATAGCTGTTGCCCTTAAAACCCCTCCTCAACCCCCACCTTAGGTTCTGCCTTTGCAGTTCACTCAGGTTCTGATTGGTTGGTTTCTATGCCAGTCAGCATCAAAAGCTCCGCCTCCTAGGAAGCCATTGGCTATCCAGCACTGACTTCCAGTGTTAGGTCAAACCTTCAGTGGTTATGGATCCTGGCTCTTTATATATATATAGATTATTTTTAAAGCATTTATTTAGCCTTTAGACTGTAGCAGCTACAATACTAATCAATACACAAACATGAATTGTTTAGTGGTGGGAATTCTGATAGGTAATTCTAACACCCTAGTTAGAAGTCTAAATTCAATTATCTAATGTCAAATTCCAGAAATTTTCAAAGAGTGGCATTTTGTTTGTAATCATAACCCACGGATTCTGAAGGTGGTAGTTACGTTATCTAAAGAGAGATTTCTATCCTATACCACTAGATAAAGGGGTGTGATCTAACTTGGAGAAAAACTGAATGCATAGCACAGAAAGCATTTTATAATGGACCTTCACAGTACTCAATAATGATTGTCTGAATACATTTGGAATAAATTTCACATGACAAACTTTGAATTAAAGACCATGCAGAAGAAATAGATATACTTAAAACCTCAGAAACCTCCATAAGACAGAGGAAGATTGGGTGGCAAAAAGCCTATTTAATGCTTGGAGTTGTTTTCATTACCAATGCACATTCATTAAACATCCATTAAACATCATATAATGCACAATTGAACATTCGTGTAAAAGCATTTGAAAATTCCACTGGTAAAGCCTATACTTTCTATGAAAATACAGGACATAGATATGGGAAGATTCACTCAAGATTCTTAAGCTCAGACTCTGACAATATCCTTTTCTCTATTAGAACATGTAGGACTCAGATAAGTATAAGCACCAAGATAAAGTAATTAATTACTTAATATTTAAAACTGTAACTTGATTTTACTATTCTACAGACAACTCCAAGCATTAAATAGTCTTTTTTTCCCCTACCCAATCTTCCTCTGTCTTATTCAGGTTTCTGAGGTTTTAAGTGTGTCTATTTTTATATCTCAGGTCGAGTGATTTTTATGAGCATCTATTAGTATAAAATAAGAATAATGATCAGCAACATTATCTATAGCAGTTAATTTGGCATTTATGATATAAAACTGCCCACAAAAGCCCCCTCTAATAATGCAAATGTGTGCACCCTAATTTACACCTGCAATAGTGGCATTTTTCTGTTAACCTGCAGAGCAGCCATTTCTATCTGAGAATTCATTCTCTAGCCAGCTTGCATTAGGATACAAGGAAAATGCATGCCCGCTATTTTATAAGAGGCAAAGAACATAAACTACTAATGGATGATATGTAATTTGAGGTACATTTATGTATTGTAACAATATGCAGTTAATTTTTGCAGGATGGATAAAAATACAGGCACAGCTCATTATTCTCTCCACGGAACTCCATGACACCCCTCTTACCTATAGCACATCATTATGATAATGATGTCCTATTTTCCTAGATCTGAGAAAATGTGTATTCGGAATTCTCATTTAATTCCCATCACACTTTCACTAACCATTTAAAAGTTAGACAATGTTATCCTGGAATAATATAAAAAACTATGTAACATACACGCTGGCAGAGGCAATGAACAATCAGCACACTGTGGAAAGGAAAACACCAGAAAGGACTGACAGAGAATTGGGAGGACGTTAGCCCTGCCTACCACCAGGTTATTTGCTCTTAAACACCTCTCTTTCCGCCTGGTTCCTCAGGAACACGGAGGTGGGAACAGCAGCAGCAGCAGCAGCAGCAGCAGCATCACGGCCCAGATGCCTGCACTCAAGACCAGCGGCAATTGCTCCCCACTCTTCATTTCTGGACAAATGTTGAGGCTCCTGAGTAGATATCTTCATAAGACTAAATAGAAAAGAACACACACCTCACAATGTAAGAAACAGACGAAAAAAGGGTTCATAATGATGTGATCCTCATGAGATACGTACCTGTATTAAGTACCAGGAAGATAAAGTCAGCAGAAATAAAACCATGAAAAGCACCCAGCATTGGGTCTGGAGCTGGTATTCCTCACTCAGATTCTCTTGCCCTCCCCTCCCGCAGCCTAGCTACAGACTAGATTCCTTACCTATCGGGTGAGTCTTCGGGCAGGATTGTCTGTGAGGAAGGTAGAGGGAAGAGGACAGAATGCAGTGTGGCAACATTTCCAAAGCCACCATTGTGGTGAGGTGGGAAAGCCCAAGTGTTCTCAAAGAAAGGAACTCCTAGATTCCTGAAACACTGGAATAGCCTAGTTCGTACTAGGAACTGGCCATGAGGATAGAAACATATATTGATTTTATTGTGAATTCTGTCCAAAGACCCAAGGCTTTTGTGTATATACCTGTCATTAGCTTTGTCTAACCTATAGTATTAAACAGTAAAACCTTCAGGGCTTATAATAAGGCTGAAGTCTGTTGTATGTGAGTACTAGGAATATCTCTGTGCACTCTGATAATGAAGGGGATGGTTAATAGTCTTTGAGCAAGGAAAGTGGTAATTCACCTTAAAAAATGAATATCTAAATTTTTTTCTGATCTAATTTTTAAAAACAACTTCAATCAATTTTTCCAAATAGCCATCTTTTGATCTCTAACTCCAATCAACAATAACAATAACCTGCATATTCTAAGCAATGCCAGACACAGCTCTTGAGAGAGAACTCCTCTCATTGGAAAGTTGTCAGTCAACATGATGATGGTGGTAATCAGAAATACACCAATGAATATGGACAAAGGATTCAACTAATGTTGATAGAGAACACAACCTGTTTCAGGCATCCAGATGCACAGAGCAGGCACACACATTTTCCTTAAAGAGCCCATCTATCTATATATATAAAAGCCAAGCAACCAGGACAACCAAAACAACTGGAAATGACCAGAACAACTGGAACAACCAGTTGCTATGATGCGCACTGCTGCGGCCAACCAGCCCGATCTGGGCCCCGCCCCCCACCCCCACCCCCCCGAACAACCTCCATGGCCCCTCCTCCCAGCTGGCCCAGCCCCTGATCAGCACCCCCCCACCCCGATTGGTGGCAGGGGTGGCAGGCCAACCTCCCATGGTTTCTCCCTCTGGCCGGCAGGCACTGATCACCTGATGGGGGCTGGGCCCCGGACTGGGATGGAGAACAAGGGATGGGTGGCAGTGGATGTGGGTGATGAGGGAAGGAGAAAGGGGGGAAGCAGGGAGGCGAGGAACCTAATTGGCCCTGATCTCCAGCCAGGCCTAGGGACTCCACCCATGCATGAATTTCACGCACCAGGCCTCTAGAAGTAAATGTTTACAGTTTTGTGGGTCTTCCTGTCTCGACTACAACCACTGGACTCTGTTCTTGTAATGTGAAAGCAATATAGACAACATGCAAGAGAATGAGAGTGGCTACATTCCAATAAAACTTTACTTAATTAGTTACAGAAACAATGTGGGTAGACTTGGCCCATGGGCTGCAGTTTGCAAGCCTCTGCTTTAGAGGAATGAGTCCCCCTAGTAAAGGGCTCCTATCACCCCATTTCAATGTGCAACTCTGAGGTGGACTATAGATCAGAGGTTTCAACAACCCTCTCCTGGAGTAATTTTCTAGAGCCTTCACAGGCCTCAGAGAAGCAATTCATTTACAGGATCATCAGTTTATTATAAAAGAATATAACTCAGGAACAGTTGGATGGAGAGATGCACAAGGCCAGGCATGGGAAAGGGGTGTGGAGCTTCCATCCCAGACCTCCCCCATACTAGGCCCACTCTGTTAAAATCTCCACATGTTCACCCACCTGGAGGCTCTCTGAACCCCATCCTTTTGGGGTTTTATGGAGTTTTCATTACATGGGCACAATTGATTAAATCATTGACCATTTGCTATTGATATAACCTCAAGCCCTTCTGCCCTCTCCAGAGATAAGGGGATGAGACTGAAAGTTCCAATTCTCTAATCACAGGGTTGGTTCTCTTGGCAACCAACCCTGATCCTTAGGTACTTTCTAAAAGTCTTCTCATTCACAAAATAAAGACACCTTTATAGCTATTTTCGTTTAGTAAATTCCCAGGGTTTTAAGAGCTCTGTGCCAGAAAAAGGGATGAAGAACAAATATATAGTTTCTCTTATAAATCATAATATCACCCTTGGCTTTTGGCATCCTGTAACCTACTAGTGCCAGGCCTGTGAAGGCTACTTCTAACTGTTCATCAGAATGCATTCTTCTGTACAGAACCAGAATTACAGATATGGATGAGACCACAGACCCAGTATTTGGAGCCTAGAGATTGTGGAGAGCCAATATTAATTCTGCAAATGATTAAAATGGCTGAGGATCATGGTTCTAAAGGTAGGATTCCCTGGACAAGCAATTTAAGGAAGATAACTTGTCAGAAATGCAGATTCTCTGGCCCCACCCTAAACGTACTGAATCAGACATCCCAGGGGTTATCAGGCAATATGTGGCTGAACCAGCCCTCCAGGTGATGGGAATGGGAAGCAGTTAGTCACAAGGAGTGTGAGTCCCTGATACATGAGAGGGAAATGATATGTTCCCTGTTCTCAGAGTTTATTGAGATCTTCCTGTCAGTAGATTTGCTTTATACTTTGAATAGTTGGAAACATGCTTTTGTACACATTCTGAGTTCTCTTGTAAGGGTAAAAGAAGGGCCATTGTTAGGCCTTTGGAACTAATGGGAGTCCTTGAACTCCAGTCACCTCTGTGTCTCCATGTCCCCCACAGTACCTTTTATTCAGTAGGTGCTTAGTATGTTTTCTGAATAAAGAACATTTTTAAAAAAATCAGAAATGATTCTAAGACAACAGCTTTGGTGAAAATTTTGGAAAAGCATGTTCACACATCTGATGTATGTATCAGACACTGGTTTCAGAAAATTGGAAACCTGTGTTTGGGTTTCCTGTCTATAGTTGGCGTGACCCATGTTCTGCCCAGAGTTGGGGAGGGGCTGGTGAAAATCCACAGAAAAAGTGATAAGGTGGTGGGCTCCTGGGTATAGTACCATCGGTTGAACCACTTGGGGGGAGGGGTGACTCAACCTCAGAAATAAGGTACTTCTGCTCATTCATGTTTTGAGATCAGCAAGCTAGTTTTTCCTTTTGCTGAATGAGTTTCTTGTCTCTCAAAATCTCTCCGTCAGTTCAAATACACACATATTCTAACATCAAAGCATGTGAAATTAAGATGTGTATTATAATCTACGACTATTTAGCTTCAGTCAAATGTGGCACACCCTCCTTAAGCCATCAATAAATAGCGTATTTATCAATTTGATGATCTCCTAGAGAAACATAAATACATACCTGTTCACAGGAAACTAAGCTATCTTGACAGTCCAGACATTCCATCACCATGCCCGGTGACTAGCTACACACACATTTACTCCACAATAAAACACATTTGTCGCCTAGACAGTGAGATGCTGTGCAGATGGAAAAAAAACCAGGGAATCCCATAAAATAAGACAATAACAGAACCCAGAAGCTGCAAGCATGAACCAGTATTGAACTATGCTGCTTACTGGGAGATGCAGCCCTAATATTTTCTGTCCTTCTGGCCTATTTTTTTGTTTTGATTGGATTGCACACAGTAATCTATTAAGTAGGGTGTCCCATGCCACCCAATGCCAACCTACTTCTTCCAGGATTTCACTTGCATTTTTAAGGCTAACACAATTGCTCAGGCTGGTTCCAAAGAAGAATTATCAGGTTCTGAGGTGCTCTGAGATAAGTTTTATCAAACTGTCAGCCCAAATCCAAACTGTAAGCCAAGACCCAAATGATACAATCAACTTCTCTGGTAAAAAATTAAATAAGGCAAAGTAGCAAATAGTGTGTATTTGCAGAGTAAAGTTGAATTTTAATTAGTGAAATTACCATTTCAGTTGTACTTGAGTGGTACCACACTGCAGTATTACAGGTGTTTCTTACTGAGGGTTATAGTCCAAAACACTTTTCAGGGGCTCTCTGCTGAGCAGCTCCATGATGGTCGGTTCTGGCTTTACCTCTCATGATCTGTGGTGGCCCTGGATGTTTGCTGTGGGTACCCAAGAGTGACAGCTGATTAAAAGAAAAAACCTTTTCCACCCTTTTAAATCTCTTCACTCATTTCCCCCGTAATTTTTATCATAATGGATCTTAAACCTGTCTGGGTTAAGACTCCTTGCAGACTCTAGTGATAAATGTAAAACCCAGAAAATTCTGCATAAAATTACATACAGTTTGAAAGTCTTTGAAGCTAGATCAGCTGTGCATCTATTGGCTCCACGGGAATCTAAGGTTAAGAATGTTCTACAAATTAACCCAGCATGGAATGTGTGATATCCTCAGAGAGTAATACAAGTAGAAACTAGGCACTCTAAGGGTGCCACTTTTCTTGTCTGCTCGCTCTGAACACCGGCATTTTACTTGTAATTTTCAAGTTGAATTCTGTCTGATCCAGCAAAACACAAAAGTGAGTTCTTTAATTTGAGGTATTACAATGATAATGAAAAAAGAATCATTGAATTTTTCTGAACTCACATTGCAAAATAACTTACCTAACCCTCAATTGAATCAGACTCTTCTGCAAATATAATGATTGCAATGATATATGGCAGGTGTTTGATATTAACTTTGATCTCTGGTAAAAAAGATTTCATGAAGCAAATATAGGTGTGGTTGATGGAAATGACTCTAACTGTATCCAGTCTAGCTTCTCTTATTCTTTATTTCACTTCTGTGTCATTTATGATTCGAATTTGTACCCCAAAAAGTGTCTCATTAAATCAGAGATTCTGGTATTAACTGTGTAATGTCTGAATGGCATTATCTGCAATAGATAAAAATCAGACAAGGCGTAGTGCAAGCATGCCAAACTCAAAGGCTAGCATGGGCCAAATAAACAAGGTTTAAGTTTATGTTGGCTGCAGGAAAATAAAAGCTTCAATTT